CTCCAAATGCATGCTAATTAGTATGCGTTGAAGCAGACTTAATTAATCAAGTGTCCTACATTCCAAAATGTGGTGAGGATGTTTTAACTAAAGCTTGTCAAATGAGCTTTAGTTAAAGCGCCCCTGCTGCCATTTTGAAGTCCAGGATGCTGAATACACATGACTCTGATTGCTTTAATTGGAGCAGCTCTCAGAGCCACTCTAATTAAAGCGCCAGCGCCCCCCCCCCCACCGTCCCCCGCACACCTTTACCTGAATGTCTAGAGGGGCCCGTAATTATGTAGAGATTTGGAGAGTAGTGGGGAATGAACAAAGCATGCAGGACAGAGATGCTGCAAGCAATGTGTCTTTAAAACCCGCCTGGAAGTGTAATAGCACTGATACATTTACAGTTGGATATTCAAGGTTATGGAGAAAAGACACTGACCTCTGACTTCAGATAAGAAGTGCTTTAAAATATTGTTATGGTTCTCATCCATATGTGACGGGTTAAACGCCACCTTTGAAGGAGGGGGGAAAATTGCAACAGACTTAAAAAGCTGAGTTCACGGTAAGGCACACTGAAACTAAACTGAGAGGCACGTGGATAAGAAGAATGTGGTATTATTAATGCTTATCACTCTTTAGGTCCATACAGTTCAATGACAGTTTGAAAAGGATGTACTGATACAGGATTTCCTGGTAGTTTGACACAGCATGTGGTGGTTCCAGTAAGCCTCTTGCCGAACAAAGCACACCGAGAAACTTCTGAAGCTTCAGTGGATGAATGACAGTGCGGAGCCCAAGAGGCGAGGATTTTATCCAGCCTTTTGGCATTTTTCAGCTAACTGCACTAATACTTGAGCCACCATCTAAGGAACTGCCCTGTTAATAAGAGCATGAAGCAAATTCCTAATTGTTCACAGAGCTGGTGTTTTTCTTTCCAAGGCTTTGAAAAACTCTGTCACCCTGAATTTTCAGAACCGCTGCAAACCACACCAAGAAAATCTTTCTTCGGGTCATCACCAAAATCAAATGTCTACTAGAGATGGAGGATAATATCATGCTTAAGATGCTGGTCAGGAATTCAGGAAATTTGATTTCATGTCTGCATTCATTTTTGTGTGACCTTGGGCAAGCAGAATCACCTGGGAGGTGCAAATGAGGCATTTATTTACCCCAATGGAGATAACAATACTACTCCATGTGTGTTTGCAAGCTCTCTGGACAGGAATTGTTGTTTATGATGTGCATATAGATGTACAATGTCTTGGACAATGGGGTCTTAACCTTGGGAATGCAGGACATTTGAGTGGAGTAATATAGAGTTTGTCATAAGGGGAGAGGAGGACCAGAACTGCAGGAATTTCCCCCTTCCAGGTGATTTTTGCACTTCCGCTCAAAATCTGTGAGTATATAGAATACTAGGTAAGTAATGGTCCTTACTGGACTGGATATGTCAAGCACTATTACATCAAGCAAATAATCAGTAATTTAAACTATGTATCTAGTTTCTCCTGGAAAAGTGCTCTGGATTCCAAGAGTCCAAAGCCAGTTCCTAACTCCAGATTTGCAAATGGATCTTTATCTCTACAATGAGCCAGGTTAAAATCTGGGCACTTTTGAAATCTGGAGATGAATTTTGCAACCTCAGCCCATCCCTGGTTTTGCAGAGTCCTACATAAATCAAAGTGTCCCTTTTCCCTGGCAATTTTCCCATCACTTGAGTCTTCCTTTGCCTGAAGCTGAAGCCTCCTCATAGAAAGCAGCCTCACAATTTGAGAAGTGCTGATTTAGTGCAATTTAGGAGACAAGACAATAACTTGACATGAAACATTTTTCTTTGCCTCGGGGGACTAGAAAGAAGGTAGAGAAGTTCCCACAGCAGGAGCCCTGGACATCCTAGAAAATAGGGAGAGAAATGAGGGTAATTAAAATACTTTCTTTGCAGATTCATTGAATCATGACAATTCTGAACTCGAGTCGCCACAGGAGGAACAAGGAGCTTTGCTGGATCAAGCCTCTGCTTATGAAGAAGGAAAAAATGATGAAAATGTAGCACAAGAATTAACAGTAAAGCAAAGCTTAATAGTGACCCCAATAAAGGGCAGAGTGCTACTCTCTGAATAAAATGGAATAATCAGAACAGAACCAGATTCTGCCTTGCTCTCTTGCTTCCCAGCCTCTGCTTATGGAGTAGTGGGTGGAGCAATGGCATCAAAATTGGGACTTTAGTTGATAGCACACCTGCCTGGGAGCATTATTTGTTCTTGCTTTGTTTTCACAACTGACTGGGGAGGAAGGAACCACACGTATGTACACGGAGGGTCTGGCAGGCTAACTACCCCTCTGCACAACTGGGAGGACAGGGCTCACAAATTGTTTGAAGAGAGGTGGTTACCTGTATTCGCCTAAAGTCAGGCAGAAGGCAGGGAGGGTGGCACCTTAGAGACTGATGCATTTGGAGAGGCTTACGTTTTCCTAGGTGGCAACCTACTTCATTATAGCATCTGCTGCCTAAAAAAAGTATGCCTCTGAACAAGACAAACTGTTTAAAGACCCGCCACCCAATTTCTTTCTCCCCCACTAGTGTCAAAAGACCAAAAAGTCTTCAATATATAGCCATCAGAAACTGTTAGCATTAAATATACAATAGGCTTACAAATTTACAAATAGGATTTACAATAGACTATACAAACTTACAAATAGGATTTACACATTTTGGTTAGAAATGTACAGGCATCATACTTTGTATGGCCCCCGTATAGAACAGAAGCTCTGAAAACAGTATGTTTTATGCCTAGGGAAGCTATGGACTGAAGGTGTTTAAGAAAAGGGTGGACACTGGCCAGGTATGAAATAAGTTTAGCTATGCCTATGTTCTACTATGGGTATTTCCTATGCTTCTGCACTTTGCTAATTGCCCCCTCCTCCCCTTTCTGCTACACGTGTCAGTGCGTTTTTAAGCCTTCCTCAAAGCATTGGGTGTTGCCTGCAGCCAAGGCTGGGGATTTTGACTGGGGTGTGCCAATGCTCCAGCTGGGACTTTAAAGCCAGAGATTCTCGGCTAACGGGAACAGGGTCTGACTGACCACCATATTTGGGGTCAGGAAGGAATTTTTCCCCATGGTCAGATTGGTGTGGACTGTGGGGCCTTTTGTCGTCTTCTGTAGTGGGGGACGTGGCCCTCTACCTAGGATCTGTTGAGCATATATTAACAACCTTTTATAGGAGCATGATGCTGGCTGCCATGGTTCCCCTGCTTCACCTGTGGAAGTTTAGGGTGTTATGTGTTGTGTTGTGTTGTCTTAGGGGTGATGGTAAGGGTTGATGGTAGGGTTGATGGTAAACTCTTTACAAAGAGTTTAGATTATGG